GGGGGGAGACCCCGGGATCCCTGGAGGGGTTGAAGAGTCGGGCTGAGCCAGCGCTGAGGGGTCTGGGGGAGTTGGGAACGGTCAGGGTGAGGTTCACGGTTGGGCTGGAGGAGCTGCAAGGGCTTTTCCAACCCAGATGATTCTGGGATTCTGTGATTTTGGCTCTTCCCCAAGGGTGGTGCAACAGGATAATCCCAGACCTGAGGAGGTCTGGCAGGGATGGGGCCCAGCACCACTGCCTCCTCCTGCCATGGTGCCTGAGCTCTCCCAGTAGGTAAAGAGGCAGCACCAGCTAAAACAGCACAGCCAGTCTGTTCCTCTCTTCGAGAGCAGGATGGCCCCAGGTTGCTGAAACTGGGGTGCAGAGACACTTAACCAGGATGTTTTACATCGGAAATGGAGCAAGTGCCTCTGCCAAGTCCTGGTCAGGATGTTGTGACAAGATACAGCGAGTAACAACTGCAACAACTGGAGGGAAAACCGGGGGAAAAACAAGCAACCGGGCTGGATTTTTGCAAAACTCAGTGTTGCTCCTTTCCTGGAGGGGGTCACTGTGACCCAGGAGACGGGACAGGACGTGGGTGACAGCACAGAGCGCTATTCTCTACACCTCCATGAGTACTCGTGGGCCACGAAAGCAAGCACAACCCTGGGTTGTCCTGTACTGACAGCCACAGCTGTTCGCTGGGAAGGTCTGCACGGTTCCCGCTGTGGCCCTACCCCACCCCTGCACCTTCTCTGCCCCTCTCCATGCTCACCGTCAGGCAGGACAGGCATCAACAGCATTTTCAATCCTGCTGCCAAACAACATGGTGGCTACACAAAACTGCCAGGAAGGAAACCCACCTCCATTTTCTGTGTCCTCTCGCAGCATCCTGACCTGCTTCTGCTCTGCATCGAATTGCTGCTGGATGAGGAGGGGGCTGCGCACATCCACGGAGCTGCTCAGGGGCTCGCTAAGTTTAGAGCTGGGCACATGCTGGTTTTTTGGCAGTGAGTCTGGGGGCTGCAGCTCCCCTCTGCGAGCAGCCTCCTCCAGCCTCAGGGACGACTCGGTGGAGATGTAGGAGTCCTCTTGAGGCTCGTTCCTGAGCTGCTCGGAGCTGCGAGCAAGGCCTGCATCCCTTGGCGGCAGAGATCTGTGCAGACCCAAGCCCGGCGCACCACGGTGCAAGTGGTTGGCATTTCCGAAACACCCGTTGTCTACACAGACTGGGTGCTGCCGGCGGCTCAGCCAGTCCCGGCCCTGCTCGGGGGGGACAGATGATGGCACGGCCACGCTGGTCACCTCGGGGGTCCCCGCTGCCACCTGCACAGCCTCAGTGGGGTGCAAGAGGTGCCCCTCTCCATCACAGACTGAGCTCCCAGGAGGAAGCGGCTGGGGACTCTCTTGTGGCAAGTTTTTGGGGAGCTGGAAGGAAAAGAGTTGTGTTAAAGCGCTGTGACAGGATGAGAGGGTTTGGGACCACTGGGGTGACCCAAATCCTGACCCAGTGACCCACACGAGCCTGGCGATGAGTGGGTGTCTCCTTGGCACCCACCACACAGCCCGCTGGAGGTCTGCACGGGGTTGGGGGCTGTGGGGGGAGCCTGGACTAACAGAGAGGACCTTGCACTCCCACCCACGGAGGGGAAGCAGGAGAGGTGTGCAGTTACAGGGCCATATGTAGGCTATAAGTTACCAGCTGCAGCAAGCACACAGCAGAGATCAGCAGCAAGAAGCTGCCTGGGGTGTCCCTGAAGGAGCCTGGCCCAAGTACGGGCTCCCCACACCACAGCACCCCAACAGGGACCATTGTGTCCCTGTTTGACATGTGCCCCACTCACCGATTCCTGCACCGGGGCCCTGGCATCCAGGTCCGTGCTGCTGGCAGTGGCAGGGCCAGGCAGGAGAGGCGAGCAGCTGCCAGCGGGCAGGTCTCGGTGCGGCTGCTGAGCCAAGGGAGCGGGGTGCGACCCCGGGGACGGCGTCTGGGCACCGAGGGAGGAGAGGGACAGATGGGCATCGCTGGCTGCAGGAGGGAAGGAACTGGCAGCCTGGGCACCTGGAGGAAACAAAGCGGTTTGTGAGTGGGGACACCAGGAGAAAGGTGAAGCAGAGGATGAGTGTGGGCCTGAGGCAGCCCCTCACATGCCCCTGCTCTGCCCCCATGTTGGCCAAGCCCCCAGCACCCTTTCATAGAATCATGGAATGGTTTAGGTTGAGAAGGGTCCTTAAAGATCATCCATTCCCACCCCCCTGCCCCGGGCAGGGCCACCTTCTACTAGCCCAGGTTGCCTAAAGCCCCGTCCAACCTGGCCTTGAACCCTTCCAGGGAGGGGGCAGCCACAGCTTCTCTGGGCAACCTGTGCCAGGGCCTCACCCCCCTCACAGGGAACAATTTCTGCCTTAGATCTGATCTAAATCTCCGCTCTGTCAGCTTATCCCTCGCCCTATCCTTCCCCCCTGATGACCAGTCCCTTCCTCCTTCCCTGCAGCCCCTTTCAGCCCTGGGAGGCCGCTCTAAGGTCTCCCCGGAGCCTTCTCTTCTCCAGCTGAACCCCCCAACTCTCTCAGTCTGTCCTCAAAGGGGGGGGCTCCAGCCCCCCGAGCATCTCCGTGGCCTCCTCTGGCCCCGCTCCAGCAGGTCCGTGTCCTTCTGCTGTTGGTGCCCCAGAGCTGGACCCAGCCCTGCAGGGGGGGGTCTTCCAGAGCGGAGCAGTGGGGAAGAATCCCTCCCCCTCGCCCTGCTGCCCACCCTGCTCTGGGTGCAGCCCAGCACACCGTTGGCTTTCTGGGCTGAGAGCACATGTTGCTGGCTCACAGTTTTCCATCCACTAATCCTCCCACATCCTTCTCCTTGGGGCTGCTCTCAATCCACTCCTCACCCTGCCTGGATCTGTGCTTGGGATTGCCCCGACCCATGTGCAGGACCTTGCATGTCCCACCCCCCCAGCCTGTCCAGGCCCCTCTGGCCAGCACCCCATCCCTCCAGGGAAGGGATCTTTCCATCTCCCCTCCAGCTGTGAAACCCAGCCCAGGGCCAACCCAAGCACCTTCAAACAAGGACCCTGCCCACCCCCAGGCACATCACCAGGGTGAGGGACATCCCTGGGGCCATCAGACACCCCCAGGCCCCCAGAAGCTGGGACAGGGAGAGCAGCAGTCACCAAGAGACACTGTTTGGGTCCCCAATCACCACTGGACCCCCGTGGCAGCACCACCTGGGGACGAGGAGGCTACATACGGGCTTGCCAGGTGTCATACACGTGCTGCAGCTCATCGGCCAGGTGCCCGGCATTGTTCTGGCGCAGCGCGTTGATCAGATCCGGCACCCAGCCCTGCCGGCACTTCAGGTGCTGGTAAAACCTATAAGCAGTCGCCTGGCTCCCCCGTGTTTCCTCCCGGGTGTGAAGTTCATCCTAAATAAAACACACAGGGCATCTAAGAGAGGGTCTGGCTTAGAGGTAAGGCAGCTGTACGTTGCCTGAGGTGTATATATTGCGGAAGGAGCCTGGTAGGAGTCAGGAAAGCAGGGAATTTACTCTGTCGGCATCGGTCAGGCAGGTCAGGGTATCAGCCAGCGACGACACACGGATGTTCTTGAAATTCTTTAGGTTTTTCATAATGTATTCATACACTTTCTCTTCGGCCAAACCCATCTTGGCTCAGCACCTGCTGAGAGAGAGACAAACAATGTAAGCAGAGGGCTGCTGGTGGCGCTCAGCTTTTCTACTGGAGCTTGGCCTTTTCTATAGGAGTTGGGGCTTTTCTAGAGGAGCTTGGCTATAGAAACTTGAGCTTTTCTTTAGGAACTTGGCTACAGAAGCTTGGGCTTTTCTACAGGAGCTTGTCTCTACTATAGGAGCTTGGACTTTTCTACAGGAGCTTGTCTCTTTTATAGAAGCTTGGGCTTTTCTACAGGAGCCTGGCCCTCCAGCACAGACTCTCGGCCTTGCTGCGGAGGTGATTGATACAGGGGGAAATCCAGGGTGGAAACCACATGAAATAACCCAGGTTTAAAGTTCAGCTCTGGACTCTGCTTTCACAGATCCAATTCCCCCCTGCAACTGCCCAGCCGTATTTACTGATTTTTTTTATGGTTTTGGTTTGTGGTTTTTTGCTTTTTTTTTTTTTTTTTTTTTTTTTTTTTTTTT